TTATTTATAAGAAAATTTTTTACTGGCCATGGCCAAGAAGGAGGAGAAGAAAAAAAGAAAAAAAAGAAATATTAAAATATTTAAAATGTTATTAAAATATTATTAATAAAAAGAAATTTTATGCCGTTACCAAACGCATTTATGTTCTTTTACTATTTCAGGAATAGAAATTTTGGGCCGTTACCAAACGCCTTCAAATACACAGAATCAGTTCCCGAGCACAGAATAAAAAAGAATCATTTCTGACCAGAATCTGTTCCCGGGCACAGAATGATTGCCATGCGCAGCCTTAATGTCCCTTTGACTCGGATTTTTGGAGTTTTAACATCGAGCCCTGTCTCGTCTTTTCACCTTGTACTGATCGCTAGTGATTTGGTGCTCACAAGTGTAGATATGCATCTTGCACCTGCTTGGGTGATCTCTTTTCTCGTTTGATATTGGGAGATTTTACTAAGTACACTCACCTGAAAAGAATTTTACTTAAGATGCCCTTGCCTACAGCCGGTGGAGAGATATAGGGAAAAAAGAAAAAAATAAAGAAAATTTTATAAAAATTACAAATATCGTTCACGTTAGCGTCGGTCGTGCCATGTAGGACGGCTGCCGGGCTTATGACTAGGTCTATTTTGTATTGCAAAGATTCAGCATGAATTGGCCATAGGGAAAATGACACAAATGGTTCATGAATTTTAGTCAAATGCACAATGTCGTCCATGAGCTTTTATTTTATTTAATGTAATCCATGAACTTTGATTCAATGTGCAATGTCGTCCCCGAAAATTTTAACTTTTGCAATGCAGTCCCCAAAGTTCAAGGACCACATTGTACAAATAAAAAATTTAAAAACAACGTTACATAACGGATCATGAACCTTAGGTGCTATTATCTTAAAGTTATACGTGTTGAATTGATGATGAGCTTAATCCATATTCAGCCTAAGGTTCTAGACCCTCGAGCAGAATGGGCTAAGTCCGAATTCAATTCTCTTGTTGGGCCTCTTTGAGGAGTTTCAAAGTCGATTAGTTTGATCTCACGTGAGGATGAGCATATTTCTAGTGTCGTTTTCTTTTATTTTGTATACTTAAAAAGAAGAGTCATTTTTTTTACTAGTGCAATTGAATTACTCTTTTTTTTTCTTGAGAAAGCATAAAAAAAAATGGGCCACGCCCTACTAATTTCTAGTTTTATCATATCGAGTGTGACGGTCCAAAGGGCTGGTAGAGTTATTATTGTACTTAGGAGATCTCATGTAATTAACTTTTTCTCAAATTCGCTTCTCTGAAGAAAAAGGTTTTGCGACATATATTAACTTGCCACCCAACATAAAATTTTACTCTCCTCATTGATCATATTCGTATCTAGCCTTCTCTTTTAGTTACAACCATTTGTAAATCCCAATTAATTCTAATTATCGTGAATGAAGAACATGAATAACGCCGTTAGATCTTCTTTATTTGGTCTTTCTAATCAACCCTTCTCTCGCTCTCTCTCGAGGACTTTGTCTGCTCGCACGCAGAGAGATGTTTCAATCCCTGCCCGCGTCCCCACTCCCCTAATCGGTTTACCAGCAAAGCCGCATGGCTGCTGGCAATGCCGCTAAATCTTAATGATAGTGATTCTAATATATAATTCACTTTTCTAGAGGGACCCGAATGTCAAGTCTCTCCCCCCTTGCTCGAAAAATATTGTATAAAGTTATAAACTCAATTCTATACGCTTTCTTTAGGAACTGAATGTAGTTTTAAGTACTTAACCTCGGACTCTTCCTAATGTATCCACAGTCGTTGTCCCGAGGCTTCTATCTGGTCGGCAAGTTGCGGTGATGTGAAGAGGACTGCTGGACCAACCCTGGATCCACAGCTTCACGAGGGGCACTCGGATGTCCACCATATCCATTTCGAATTTTCCCTGCGAATCAATGATGGCCACGTGTATCTGAATCCGAAGGAAGCGAAGAATTTCTTCTTTTATTTTTAGATTTATCTCCCACCTTTCGTTACTTTGCACTTGTGCTTTCAGTCAAAACTCACTGCGTCGATCCCTTGTCGGAATTCTCCATGATGATTTGGGGATATGAAACGACGTCAATTTCATAGTCAACGAGTGTTCTGAGCATGAATAGTTTGGCATATTATACTTTCCAGAGCAGCGATAGCCCTAGTTCAAAAATAGTCCCTGCATTAGAAGCTTATAAAATTTCTTCAACCGATTGTTTGGCAACTCGTGCCACGTTTGCTAGCAAGATGTATATAAAAATCTAGTTCTCTAATCTAATCGGTGCATGTCAAGTTATAATCAGTAAATAGATTATAAATGAGTTTAAACATTATATGAGTAATAAATGAATCATAAATGGGATAAACCCAACCCATCTCTATGACTCTCTCTTCATTCTCTTTTGCCCTTACTCGATCTCATGCTCACTCACCTGCTCTCTCATCTCAGTTTGGGTATGAGTTTTCTTAGATGGTTAAATGAGTCGGTGTATAGGTTAGTAAATTTGCATTGAATGAAAAATGAGTCAAAACAAGTTAAATAGGTCTATTTGGGTCGACCATTTTCAATCCGACCAGATCCATCCGTTTGATGGATCCAATGCCAGATCAGCCCAGTTAGAACTTGAAGTAGACTGCACAAAGCTCTGCTATAATTCCTTTTCCCTTTTTTTTGGGCTTCTACTTTAAGCAAATATTACCGGATGAATTACCAGAACATCTGAGTTGCAAACACAATCGGACGCCTTGTGGGATTATTCCACCCTCCCGACAAATAGACCATCCGCGTTTCATCCGATTAATCAAATCGTCTACAATATGTTCAATCTAGGCAAATATTTGGGTGTGCCTTTGATTCATGGGAGAACCTCTTCGACGCATTTCCAACCGTATTAGAGAAGACAACAAATAGACTTTAGTGGATGGAAGTCTAATCGCCTGTCAATGGCAGGCCGCATCATGTTAACTCAATCTGCGCTCATGTCTGTCCCTAACTATCATATGCAATGTCCTAAAAGTCCCAACTAATGATTGTCATCAGATTGAGAAAGGTTGTTGTGCTTTCATACGGGGAGATACCAGAGACAAGCGTCGCATACATCTTTTGAATTGGAAGCCTATCTGTTAGCCCAAAAAATGTGGTGGTCTTGGTCTTAGATCCCTTGAACTTACTAATCACGGATTTTTTTTTATGAAACTAGCATGGGGCATCAAGACGCAACCCCACTTTTTATGGACACGGGTTTTGCATACTGAATATTGTTCACAACAGAGGAATACTATTTGTGCTAAAGCCGGTGACTCGATGTTATGGAAAGCAATTGTTAATGTATGGCCAACGGTAGAGGAACGAGTCACGTGGAATTTGGGAAATGGTGAACGGGTAAGTTTTTGGAAAGACAGATGGATTCCAGGTTTGGAGCCATTCTATAACATAGCTACTTCCCAATTACCTCCATCCGAGATAGACAAAAAAGCATGTGATCATGTGTGGAATGGGAATTGGAACTTTTCGCATTTACAGGAATTTTTGCCGGAAGATGTAATCCTTAGAATTCGGGCTATCAAACCCCAGATAGCCTCTGATGGGGCAGATTAATTACTGTGGGAAGGCACTGGGAGTGAGTCTTTCTTTGTTAAGTCGGCATGTGAAATTATCAGAGGGATAGATGATCAACAAACTGACATGATATGGCCCTATATACATGGAAGTGGAGGGGACCTCAACGTATTAGAACTTTCCTCTAGCTAGCGGCACATAAGCGCTTGTTAACTAATGAATTGAGGATGTCTCGAAATATGAGAGATAACCCTTACTGTATGAGATGCGAGTTTTTAGTGTAGACAACTGTGCATGTTTTGAAGGATTGTCTAGTTATTTAGAACATATGGATTGAACTCGTTCCACAACTTCGTCTTGAAGAGTTTTTCTCAATGAATCTATCTCAATGGTTGAATTTAAATATGGCTGATACAGCGAGATTCAACTCCCACCATGATTGGAGCATTGTTTTTGGGGTGAGTATTTGGCTTTTCTGGCAACGGCGAAACAAAGTCACTTTTTCAAAACAACTTTGTTTTCCCTTTCAACCCCGTACAAGTAATACAATCACACACAAAGGAAATCATAGCTTATTCTATGATCAAATTGTCATCACGTGGAACAATTACTTCTCCCATTATAGTCACTGGAGAGCCTCCACCTTCGGGATGGATTAAACTGAATACGGATGACTCTAAAGGTAACCAGTAGGAGGCTTATTTCGAAACGAAGGAGGTGATTTTTTTTTTCGGTCGAAGAAGGAGATGATCGACATGGAGGTTTTACCTCATTTCTTGGAATATGTTCGTCTTCACAAGCAGAGTTATAGGCACTATGGTTGGGACTCACCGTCGCAAAGCAACATGATTTCGATAAAATTATCATTGAAATGGACTCCAAAGTTATCATTGAACTTGTCAACTCAGAGCGTAAAACGAATAACATTGGACTGGCTCTAGTTAAAGATATAAGAAGAATCTTGGGCTCTCATTTCGAGTTCAAAATACAACATAATTTTCGAGAAGGCAATCGACCTGCTAATCTTCTTGCTAATATTGAAATTGAGAAGCGATTGGACACTACATTCTACTTGCAGCCTCCAAGCGAATTATCTCATGTTTTGTTTAGTGAAAAAGTTGGAACAGTAGGGTTTATACGGTTAAATTATTTAGTTCCATACCTTCATTTACCCAAAAAAAAGTCGTCAATGCATCGACTATGCTAAGTTGCACGCAAGACCAAATAGAAATTAAGTTTAAGTTAGGTCGGGAAATTAAAAAGGCAATTATTATTTTAAAAATCACGTTGATCGTAATTAATTAAAGCGTTTCTTTTTCCCCGGGAAGAATCTGACGGGTGTCGAATAAATAAAACTTTTTTCTGTGGCCAAAAATAGGAAGGAAAAAAAAAAAATCTCGACCTTTCAGCGATTAGTTAAAATAATATTTTGTTCCATGCAGACCCGCCGCCATTCCTCCCTCCGCCACTCGCCATCATATAATCACATCCCTCGCCCCCGCTTTCATTCAACGACCGGTCGTCTCTTCCATTTTCCGTAGCTTCCCCGTCATTTTCTCGGCCGGGAAAATATTGACCGCCCTTTTTTTCTCTCTGGAAAGAGAAAATTCTCAGCGCCGGGAAAATTTAAAGAAAGAGCGGAAAGCGTTACGTTCCTACAGTTTCCGCTTGGTCCCCCCTGTTTTTAACGTAAGGAAAAAGTGGTGGGGGCGAAGCGAAGCTTGGGGTCGAGCTTTTTCTACTGTTCTTGGGTTACTTTGGGCTTCTGCAGCTGCGTGGTGATCGATTGTTGAAGGTGAAGAAAGGGTAAGAAGAAAAAGAAGAAATGGGGAGGCGTGGAATTTGGTGGATACCCTTTGATCTGCTGGGTGCGTGATTTGTAGAGGAAGATAAAGGTTTTCTGACGAAGTGGGTCGGAAAGATTTTCCTGGAAAGGGAGCAGAGTGGAGCGTTGAGGGGGGAAATTTCAAGGGAAAAATGCCTTTGGTTCAGCGAAGGAAAGCTGCGGAGGCTGATAGAGCCTCCAGCTCCGACGAGAAAATCGCCCGGGACGCTAGCGAGGACGAGGACAGGAAGAAGAAGGAATCGTCGCCGAGGAAGAAGGGGAAAGCCGGCGAGAAGAGCAAGTGGTCGTGCTTGGACAATTGCTGCTGGTTCGTGGGTTGCGTCTGCACAGTGTGGTGGCTGCTGCTGTTCCTGTACAATGCGATGCCGTCCTCGTTCCCGCAGTACGTGACCGAGGCGATCACGGGGCCGTTGCCGGACCCGCCGGGCGTGAAGTTGAAGAAGGAAGGGCTGGCGGCGAAGCACCCCGTGGTGTTCGTGCCGGGGATCGTGACGGGCGGGCTCGAGCTATGGGAAGGGCATGAGTGCGCGGAAGGGCTGTTTAGGAAGCGTCTGTGGGGCGGCACGTTTGGAGAAGTGTACAAAAGGTTTGGGCTCTTTGATTGAGAATTTTCATTGCGTGTGAGCTGTTTTATGTGGTGAACTGATTAGTTGGGTTTTGGTTGCGTATGAAAGTGGACAAGTTGATGTGTTTGGTTGGTTCCGAGGATTCACTATAGTTTTGACAGTTACGATGTCTAATGAGAAAGTTTGGATGTTGTGGTCGTGGGGGCAATCAGTTGGGTGTTTACTGGTGAAGTTGTTGACTGTTTTTCTTTCTCAGGACAGGAAGTGGAGTATAGATTTGGCAAGTACTTGTTTATATTATGGAACGACTCATCAAGTTGATCACCTCGTAAATTGTATTTCTGTCAATTATTCTTCGAATTATTAAATGTCAAAGCCCTGACCTTTTTAGGAAATGCTAATGAGTACTAGTTTGTGAGCTTTAGGACAGTATCTAACTAATGTCTTCCTTTATTAAAATGAGCTGAGAGAGAGGTGTCTGGTACAATGAAGATAATGTCAAAATACTGTGAGATCTTCTGTGGCTCGTCTCCTGATCATGATCATTTACATTCCCCTCATCCAACTTTAAGCCACTCCTTTTCCTTTTTGGGCAAGCGTAGGCAGATCATAATGGTGGCTCTGTACGCACCCTTTTAAGTTTTGAGCTCTTTGCTAATTGCGAGCACTGTGGACCAGAGCAAGGTCTGTTTTCCCCTGTTTTTTAGCATAATGCAGTAAATTTTAGAATTCCCATTGAACCTGCATCTCCAACAACGGGTATTTAGGGTCCTGCTTCTGTTATGGTTGTGTTCATATAGTCGGTCTGACCATTTGACCTTTTTCGTGTAGACATATGTACAAATGCATTGCTGTTTAGAGGATGTACAAATTCTTTTATTAAAGAATGATTTCCTCTTTTCTTGCTAGATTATGCGAACACGTCCAATAGCTCATGTTTAACTGATTAAAAAGACCGAAGCATCTTATGCCACAATGAAGCACATGTAGAAATATGACTGCAAAGGACTTATGCAGGTCTTGATGCGAAGCCTTCAAGATCTCTATTTTGATAATGATGCCAATGCTGGATTTCTTCATTCAATCTTGCACTGCTATTTATGATCTATTTTAGGTTCTAGGGTGCTGAAAGGATTGCTCTCATCATTTGGTCAATATTATCTTTAGGCCTCTATGTTGGGTAGAGCACATGTCATTGGACAATGAAACCGGATTGGATCCTCCTGGTATAAGAGTCCGTCCAGTGACTGGACTTGTCGCTGCTGACTACTTCATGCCTGGCTATTTTGTCTGGGCGGTTCTGATTCACAACTTAGCTCGGATAGGATATGAAGAGAAGACTATGTATATGGCTGCTTATGATTGGAGACTCTCGTTCCAAAACACCGAGGTACGTGCTTCAATCTGAACTGTTTGTTAAACAGCGCCATTTGTAACTTGTGTGATGAAAATTCGATTGTTATAAGGCTGTCATTCTCAATAGAAATTCATTTGACCTCCTTGCTATCATTTGATTGATCAGGTGAGGGACCAAACACTGAGCCGGATAAAAAGTCACATAGAAATGATGGTGGCCACTAATGGAGGTAAAAAAGCTGTTGTAATCCCTCATTCAATGGGTGTTCTGTACTTTCTGCACTTCATGAAATGGGTTGAGGCACCAGCTCCAATGGGTGGAGGCGGTGGACCTGATTGGTGTTCTAAGCATATAAAAGCAATCATGAATATTGGTGGACCATTTCTGGGAGTTCCAAAGGCTGTTGCTGGGCTTTTCTCTGCTGAAGCGAAGGATATTGCAGTTGCCAGGTTAATTTTAGTTTGTTTATCGAACGAAGAGCCGGTATCTGCTGCTAAAATTCAACATGGATTTGGAAGATGAAATTCTGCTTACTTTTACTGAAGGCAAACTATTGTACATAGTGACGCGTATTCTTGGATGCATCATCCTCGATTACACTAATGAACAAACCAATAAGAAAATGCATAATGTCTTACCGACGAAGTTCATTTGTGTTGACAATACTCTATGCTGGGAAGAATGTTTTCTCGACTTATACATCTAAATACATTTGAAAGTGCTATAATTTTGGATTTTTTTTTCTTGAAAACCTGGTCCATGCCTGACAAAGATGGAATACATTTCACGTCCACAAATATAATGCGATCCTTGTTACTCTCCTGATATAAGATGGAACCTTTCCCATGCAGATGAGATGATTGTCTTGTTGTTTATCTTTGAATGCAGGGCAATTGCACCAGGTTTCCTGAGCAACGATATATTTCGCGTCCAAACTCTGCAGCATGTAATGAAGATGAGCCGCACGTGGGACTCCACCATGTCAATGATCCCAAAGGGTGGGGACACAATTTGGGGTGGTCTTGATTGGTCACCTGAGGAAGGATATCTTCCTAGCAAGATAAGGCAAAGAATGAATGACTCACAGGTTTCAAGTGAAAGTGGCACCAACAGTTCCGGTTCTCGAGCCAGAGTTAATTATGGAAGGATCATATCATTTGGTAAAGATGCGGCAGAGTCTCCGAGTTCTGAGATTGAGATGATTGACTTTAGGGTGAATTTGCCTTCTCAACATCCTTTTCTGATGCCCTGATTACGCTCGTATCGTCTTCTTAAATTATTTCCTATTTATTTGCATATATCATTCTTATGATGCTTGATATTGAAACTGGAAGATAGAGAATTTATATAATGACTCTAAACTCTAAACCCCCTTTTGTATCAATTCCCGGTGACAATGGGTTCTAGGTTTTGCAATCTTGATTATCAGATAAGGTAGCTAAGTGGAAGAGAGCCAAGAATTTCCTGTTGGTCATTGGTTCTCTTTTATAATTTTACGTTTAAGCATTTTGCCCTTCAATAATTTTATGTTCTTGGCAAGCATGTGTTTGCCTCTTGCTCATGCTTTCCTGGTACTAAAATGATTCATTCTTTTCACATGCTGCATGAGACTTCTTGCAGAAAATAAAATCAGGCTATATTGAGTAGATGACTAGCTCTTTCAGTTAGGTAAATTGTATCATTCCTCTGTGGGTTTCTGTTTTCCTTTAATTTTTTTAGCGTGCGGAGCTGATGATTTTGAACTTCTACATTCCTGGATGCAATTATTTATGAAGGTGGGAAACCCCGTGTGTATGTTTAGTGCACATACATCTTTATAGAAGCCATACCAAAACTTTGACACTGTTCATTGACAATATTTGGTAGCCAATGGCAAATTATATGCAATGTTTTGCCCTACTATTGCAAATTGATAATATAGTTCGGGTCAAGCATTATCACTATCCAGCGAATGTTCTTTCCAACTTTGTTTTTTCTTTAATATTGAGTAAGTTTTGGTGCCTTAGTTCCTGCTAATTCGTACATATTGTATCATGTATGTTGAAGTCAGTTTACTTATGTTCCTGGTTACTATTACAATTCAGGATGCTGTTAAAGGCCAGAATCTTGCCAATACAACCTGCCGTGATGTATGGACCGAGTACCATGACATGGGAATTGAGGGGGTCAGAGCTGTAGCTGAACATAGAGTTTACACTGCCGAAACTGTTTTAGATCTGCTCCATTTTGTTGCTCCAAAGATGATGGCACGTGGCAGTGCTCATTTTTCATATGGAATTGCTGATGATTTGGATGACCCAAAGTACAAGCACTATAAATTTTGGTCAAACCCTTTGGAAACGAAGTGAGAATCCTTAGAACTTTGGACTATGACAATAGTTTTTTAAGTGGGATGTTGCATTCTTCTTTCAACTGATGTTTGGAAATTTTTGCTTTTACAGCACTTGATTTGCTATTGATCCTTCTCCTGTTGTGTACTTAAAATCTCTCTCTTTCTCTACAGATTACCAAGGGCCTCTGATATTGAAATCTTCTCCATGTACGGAGTTGGCATACCGACTGAAAGAGCTTACATTTACAAGTTGTCTCCCTCTGCCGAATGTTACATTCCCTTCCAGATTGACACTTCATTCGAAGGTGAAGATGAAGATAGCTGTCTGAAGGATGGCGTGTACACTGTTGATGGGGATGAAACTGTGCCAGTGTTAAGTGCAGGCTTCATGTGCGCTAAAGGTTGGCGTGGTAAGACCAGATTCAATCCCTCAGGAATTCGCACATACGTTAGGGAGTATGATCATGCTCCTCCAGCAAATTTATTAGAGGGTCGGGGAACTCAAAGTGGTGCGCATGTAGATGTAATGGGAAATTTTGCATTAATAGAGGACATCATAAGGGTGGCCGCTGGAGCTACTGGAGAAGACTTGGGAGGTGATCAAGTCTACTCTGACATTTTTAAGTGGTCTGAGAAGATCAATTTAGCGCTATGATTTTACACGGTATGTATATTTCCTTCGTTTGCTAGTTGTAAATTGCTAGCACTAGGCATTTTATGACAGTATCTGCATCCCTGGTCTACCAATTTGTACCTTGTATACGAAGTTCGTTGAGGACAAACCTTTTCTCTTCATTACTAGTGGAACCTAGACTTACAGAGCGGGAATCATTCCTGTACAAGCAGTGAAATTAGTAAAGTGATTTACTTATTAACTGTTGAATGCTGAGGTAGGTTTCTGGAGATCTTCCACTTGGAGAAAGGTACATGTATTTAGTTATCTGCAGGAAAACGTCCATGTTAATATGACAGGTGTTTAATGGACAAGATAAAGGGTTGAACTTCATTTTAAGTCAGAAACTTTCTGTGAAGTATATTTGGAGACATGGCATCCTAGAGCCAACACATCAACAAAAGTCTAACAATTGTTCCTATGCCATATTGCGTCATCTCTAAACCGGCGACAATTTCCTCTGGAGAAAAGAGGAAATCATTGCTTGTTGGTTGGTCCAAGTATCACATGAGAAATGCTTGCGAGGGTATAAAAAGCTATCAAAGTGTCTGAAACCATGATCGCTTTTTCCTCCCTTTCGAGCAGCGTTTTTCACTTAAAATAAGACAGATGAGAGGGACTTCTATATGGATGAAGATCCCAGAATATGTTCTTTCCCCTTCTTGTTATTGAGGTCATTGAAAAGGTTGTGTCCAATGTCAGTTTTCATTTCCTTTCATGTTTTGGTTGTTGTTGTTCCAGCCGCTTCATCAACGGGTGCTAAGCCGAGCAGATTTTATTTGCAGAAGCATCTATCGAAGCTTCTCTTTTGCCTTCTCGAGAAACGAAGGCTTTCCAAATGCGACGACTGCAGTCAAAATGTAAACCGCCTTGCTTCTGCAGATGCCGTTCGACATGCATATCATGAGGACTGGCCGTCTCCCTCTTTGTGGAGTATCTGTAAAACTATTTCGCAGCAAGCAGACCAATATCTTATTCAAGGTTGCAGACAGTAATTTTCGCCACTTAATTTAGTAGTGTGCGACTTGACAGACACTACAAGTCGTCGATTCATAAAGTCTTGCTCCTGCCCTCTGTATTTCCGCCTTATAACATCGTCATAGGAACTTTCGAAGCGCACTTTAATCCGTGTATTCATCACTATGTAGTGGTTTCTCAGAATGGCCATGTGAAGATTGTGTACAAGGGTAGACATTCATCACAAGTTGCTTGGTCAGTTGCTCAGTCTTATCAAATTCAAGCATGCATGCAAGGTGTGGCAAAAGAGCAGCAAAGCGTATATTACATGGACATGAGATTGAATGAACGAACACCAAAGCCTTCGGTCGGAAGATGTTTCCTTAACATTAGGATTCTCGACAGCATGTAAACATGGAAAGATCTTGGAACTGTTGTTTTCATAATTCAATCACATCTTGTCAGAATTTTCCACATATAGACAATAGCCCCTTTTTCAAATATAGAAATATTTTCACCGGCGAGATTCAACACGTGTGGAAAGCGCGCACCGTCCCGACCGAGCCACGTCCGGGCCGGTTTTCGGCCCGTAATCCAGTATTTACTCACCTGCTTATATCGCGGGATAGGCCAAAAGCGGCCCTAAATCTCGGATCTCAACCAAAACTCCGGCAAATAATTACCGAAACAAGTAAATTATTCAAACTCCGGGATCCAAAGGATTAATCTTTTTAAGGTAGAATCCTAATGATTTTGGATAAACTTTCTCATAAAATTAATTGGGAAAGTCGAAATTGAAGGGAAAAAAAATTGAAAAATTTTGGGTGCCTTTAAATAAGCGTTTGACTTCCACAATTCTGTTTGCTTTTGTCTTCTCAGGACGCAGGAGGAGGGAGGGAGCTCGAGAGCTCGAGAGAGAGAGAGAGAGGTGTTCAGCGATGGAAGGAGCGCAGTACAATCCGCGCACTGTGGAGGAAGTCTTCAAGGACTTCAAGGGTCGCCGGGCCGCCTTGATCAAGGCCCTCACCACCGGTCCGTCCGCCGGCCTCCGCCGGCCCCCGCCCTTCTCTCTCTCTCTCTCTCTCTTTCTCTGCGCCTTATTCTTTGCCGTTGTTTTTTTTTATATTTTATGTTGGGTGATTCGCGCGCTGAATTGTCCGCGAACGCTTCGTGTGGTTGTTGTTGTTCGGTAGCGGGTATCGTGCGTGGAACTGAGCAGCGGAAGCGGGAGCTGCTGCTTCTCGATTCCGGCGATTCTTTTCTCTGTTGTTGTTGTCGTTGTTGGTGGCTCTGCTTCTACAGTTGAAAGCATTGCTTCTTGTCGACTGTTGGTATCGTGTGGTTTTCTCTTTTGCGGGGAATTGTAGTCGTGTATAACGTTCGTGTGCGGTGGGGGGGTGTTTGTTTGTTTGTTTGTTCTCCATGTTATGTCTTGTATATATATGGTCGGTTGCTGGACTACAAGTTATTTGATTTTGCGAGTTTTTCGCGAATTGGATTGATGGGTACTCCTGGGAACTTGGGTGGGCTTTGAATTGTCTGTGATATTTATGGTGAGGAGAAGAAGGTGGATTCTGTGTGTGGTTAGCATGGTTATTTAGCCTTTTTTTTGGAGGAGGGAGGTGGGAGAAAGAGATGTCGATTCGCGGCAACGCGATCTTTGTCCTGGTTATTTTTTGCGTGGATGGGTGCGTCGAGTTCGTTAGCTAGATAATTATCCAGTTGAAGAGTAGACAAAAAATGTTAATGTTGAAAGTTTTGATTCCTTGGTGATTTTGTATGAGCAAGCTATAAGGAGCATGTTGTTGCGCTTTCTCTGAGAAGGATAGTCTTGAGAGTCAAGTGCTTTTGTTCACTATTTCATAGATAGTTTTTGCTGGTCTAGTACCGCACAGATATTCGTGACTGTTCTCTTCTGCTGTTTCCCTAAAAGGCTGCTTGCTCTACTGTTGCAGATGTCGAAGAATTTTATCAGCAATGTGATCCAGGTTAGTTTTTCTTCAGCCTTGCCATAGCATCGCTGTATATTGTTGGTTGTAATTCCTGCAAGTTTTGGACTACCTGATCATCACTGTTTCTTCTGGGGTGCACAGCCATTGAGCACTCTTTGAAGCTGGCCTTTGTTTTGCACTATTACATATATGTAAAATGGATTCAATTTTTTCGATTCATTTCGAAACTTCCATAATCCCAGTTGTTATTTGGATGATGTGTATGTCACTTATCCTTGTAAACATTGATTTTTTTTTTATTTATGGGTCAATGGTTTACTTACATAAGTGGAGCAAATTTTTCTTTTTTTTGTCTCTTGGTCATGTTAATCTGTTGCTTGCTAACTCGAAGTATTAGTACATAGCAGATAGGTGTCAAGAAATACTGGGAGCCGATCTGGTGATGATGATTATCCTGATTATTTAGTGGATCAATTGAATTTATTGACCGTGTTCAAATTGGTCAAATTAGGAGATACTTTTGGTTTTCTCAGTGGATCTTTCAGTTTTATTTGACATTTATTTTCACTCTCGATCTTTTTGCTCTCTCTATGTTGTCTACTATTGTCCCACAGGAAAAGAGAACCTCTGCTTGTACGGCTTTCCAAGTGAACAATGGGAAGTGAACTTACCTGCTGAAGAAGTGCCCCCAGAGCTCCCAGAGCCGGTTTTAGGTATCAACTTTGCGAGGGATGGGATGCACGAGAAGGACTGGATTTCTTTAGTGGCTGTCCACAGTGATTCCTGGCTGCTTGCGGTTGCCTTCTATTTCGGTGCTAGATTTGGATTTGATAAGGCTGATAGGTAAGATCTTACTCTTACATTCCATTCTTCTTTTTGCAAGGTCAACTTGCTTATGCTTTATTTTTGCGAAGTGAGATCAATATCTAAAGAAGATATTTGGTATTCACACTGCAGCAGAACAGATATAAGGGTGATTCTAGCTCTGGTTTGATAGATTTACTTGTTCTCCATGAAGGAAATTCTTACATAGCTGTTTCCAGACTGCTGGAATGGACTTCCTCATCAAACTAGATTAAACTGTGAATAACATTAATCAGCATAAATGTCTCGGCTGTGCTAGCAATCTATTACTCTTCTGCTGTAACTTTTTAATAGTTCATGTGGCTTTAAGCACCCTATGGTTTACCTTTATGGTGCAGGAAGCGGCTCTCCAATATGATACATGACCTTCCAACAATCTTTGAAGTGGTGACCGGTACTGCAAAGAAGCAAGAGAAGGCAAAGTCGTTGGTAGCCAATCACGGCGGTAGCAAATCCAAGTCTACTTCCAAAGGGGTACAAAGAACTTAACTTGAGTATCTAAAGAGTCGGTAGATGTATGCAGCTATATTTACATGGTTTGATGATATTTAGGAGAGTTGACCATTCTTGTCATCTCTTCAAATGCTCCAATTTTATTAACATCTAATAAGCAATTGCAATCAGAGGAAGTTCCTTTAATTTCTGATGACTTGTAGGCATTCTATAGAATTCATGCTGAAATCTGGGTTAAGACTTGACTGTGACTTTTGCGGTATTTAGTCAGAATAAAGCTATCCATAAGTAATCCTCCTCAAATATTTCATCCATGCAGATGCTCCGTATTGTTTTAGCTGTAGTTGGTCAACCGGTCATTTTGATTGCCAGGTTGTACATATCTTTTAGTTGTAGTTGACCAACCAGTAATTGTTGATTCCAGATTATACATATCATAGCAATTCTGTTAACCTAGATTGTTGCTCCATGTAACTCGTAATATCTGATGTCAATGACCGAACTGGCTGGCTAATTGTAATTAATCTGTTCATCCATTTTCATCAGCTACAATAAGCTGTTGACAGTGGTTTGACTGCATGCACATGCGTTTTGCATGTGAATTGTCTGGCTGGCTACCTATCAAATTCGAGTTAGCCTGGTTCTGTTCTATCTAGTACTGCGTTTTATTATGACACTGCGTAACCCCTTCAAGGTTTAGTTTGGAATGCATGTGTTATATGTATGACACACACACACACAGCATGTGCTCATATACACATGGGATTGGCGGATGGAGTCACTCATGTATGATACGTGTAACTATCAATACTTAATCTACTTTTCCAACTGATTCTTTGATAGTATTCTCCCCTTTGCCCATGATTTTGATCGAGATTTTTGTTGCCATCATCATCCCACAGCGAGCACCTGAATCTCGGGGAAAATACACGAGAGAATTACAGGAGAAGGAAGAAGATGAGGAGTTGGACGTGGAAGACGAAGAGGAGAATGGGGAAACTCTATGCGGCGCCTGTGGGGAGAACACTGCCGCGGACGATTTCTGGATATGCTGCGACCTGTGCCAGAGGTGGTTCCATGGCACGTGTGTGAAGATAACTCCAGCTAGGGCCGAGCATATAAAACAATACAAGTGCCCATCATGCAATAACAAGAGAGTTCGGACGACTTGAAATTAGTCCACTGTCCAGGCAATGCAGCGTGCTTCCCTTGCTCTGCAATCTCTCCCCGAGGCGCAGAGCTCACTGTTGGTTTCTCGTTTGTCTTTTACTAGCACCCCATATAACCTTTAGGACATTGAAATTAGATGTTGGGAGCTATTTATTTAGTTGACATTGCGACATTTCATTTCGACTTTTTTGGTTACCCATGTAGATGCTGTGAGGGCAAGATGTTTGCACTCCTTTTCCCATTTGCTTGCTGTTAGTAGTTCATTGCTCAGCTGACGTCAGGATCGTCCGTCAATTACTTCGAATTAGTTTTTCCTTACAGTAAGCAGCCATTGTCCTGGTGAATCATGTCCATCGTCCATATATCCTCTCTGTTGCCTGTACGTTCCCCCGCCTGGAAGAGAACTAGAACCATGCATGCTGATACACCGCCCCCCCCCCGAGAGTCTTTAATTCTGGGGTTTGTGACGATAAACCTATGCCACTTCCACTAAACTCACTGAAGGTTCTGTAGATACCCGTAATGATGATGATGATGATGATAAGATCTTTACTTGAGTCGTTCAAGATCTCCACGTAGAGTGAATGCCAAGGCAATGAAAAGTAGATTGTGTAGGGACGTGTGATACGATTCTTCCTTGTGCCATATCCATTTCCTCCATTCTGACTGCCAACTACTTGCCCCCACCATAGGTAAAGCCATCCGCGGAGTAAAGAAATTGTAAAATACAGGAAAGACCAGGTAGAATTACTTTTAAAAGCCTTTGGCTCCGTTTGTTTCCCGCAACCGGTATGATTTAAAAAATACATTCTTAAAAATGATCGCTTGCATTACTTGAAATGATTAGCTAATAAAAAATATTTTCATTATCGATAATAATTTATGTCTTGAACGCTTTCACGAATGACGAAATATTTTTCGCTCATTTATTTTTATAAGCGATTATTTATAATAAAATATTTTTCAAATCATTTATTCTTACTGACCAGCCATTTCTCTCTCCTCACATATGCTGTCGATCATTTATTATCTATGGTCGTAAAAAATATAGACCCCATCCATGGAAGGTTTAGTTTAACTCCGGGAAATAACAAGTATCATGGCTAAAGCATTAAAGAAAAGACTTTATGGCGAGGCCTAGTTGGAGAGATTCCTAAGGTCATCCAAGGTACCAGATGCTATTCCAAATCTGGGAGAATCTTGAAAAAGTCTACACGGCTCACTGACCCAAACGGAACCAAACTCAAAAACTTTGCTGAACCAAAGATAACCCCTAAAATGCATTACAAGAAAGAAAGCAATACAACTGGCATGGACCATATGGAAACATTAACAAGCTGTGGAGCAAGTTAATTAATATATTGTGGAAAGTGAATACAACATATCTGATGGATAAACCCGCTCATATAACTTTCACATTGATCGGCCCTCAGCGCAAGGCAGGCAGGCCGGCAGGCAAAGGAAGTAGAAAAGGCGAAAAAAACAGAAGAAAAAAACAAGCGAGAGAAATTAACAAGAGTTTCAACAAAGGAAGAAGAGAGGAAAATCGCTTTCCCGTTTCCCTTTCGTTTGTTTTGTCAACTCAAAACGTCCTGATTCTTCGCCGACAGCCGTTTCAGAAACTCGTAGGTAGTGATCATCGTGGTCGCCGACATCGACATGGAAGCCCATCTCGGCCCCAGGCCTCTGTAACAAGCCATCCAGCCACCTTCCTTAACCAAGTTCCTGATGGTCTGCCCGACGGTCGGTCCCCGCCTCCCATTTTCCTCCCCGTCTAGGACCTGCAGCCTCGTCTTGATCGTATCCAGGGGCGTCGTGATTAAGGCCGACACGCCACCCGCCATGGCCGCGCTGACCCCCTGAACCGCCATCACCATTTTCGAATCCGGCCTAATCGCATTGCCGCCGTTCTCGTTGCTGCTCCCCCCGCCGCCATCCTTCTTATAATAATAGCAGCCAATCCCGCCCCACACGAGGCGTTGCGCAACGGAGTACGATGCCCACCACACCGCATTCGACGGCGCATACGTCAAGATCGATATTCCGAAACCTCTGTACAAGCCCCTCATCCCGTCAGTCCTGAGTATCTTCCTGAAAGCATCGATCCCGTTGTGATATTTACACGCCGACGCCGCATCGGAAACACCCGAACTAGAAGGAGGGCCGCCGCCGCAACAAGCACCTTGCACCATGAGCCTCTGGCTCACGACATCGACCGGAGTCCAGACGAGCTGCGCGGCCATGGCGGCGCTCAAACCCGCCATCGCGTTCGCGATGGCGGCCGCGCTGGGCTCCGAGAACCCCAGCCGCACGGTCGCCGACCCGACATTACTCTTGGTGACCTCCAGAGCTCCCATGTACAAAGCCCGGGCGGGGATGGTACCCATCAGAGAAGTCCCGAACCCTCTGTACAAGGCCCTAAAACCCTCGTGCCGGACGATGGCGACCGCGGTCGTCACGCAAGGGACCTGGGACTGAGCGACCTGCTGCCGGGTCTTGAGCAGCACGATGGGGTAGAGCGCGGCCGAGACGCCGGAGAAGAGCGCGGCGCCGAGGACGAAGAACTTGGATTTGTCGAGCATCTGCCAGTCGATATCGGCGGGAATGTGAATCTCCTGCTCGGCCTCTTCCTCGGCCGCGCTCAAATTCATCTTATCCACTTTCGAAAGGGGCTCCTCCCCACCCCTCCCCCCAAAAAACACACCCCACAACTCGAATCTCGAGCAAAAAACAAAGCGCTAACGATCTTTGCTCTCTCACACCTACCCTACCCTACCCTCCTAACGTCGCCGTCGGCTAACAAACAACTGAAAAACTGTACAATCCTCGAGCGCTAAAGGAAACAAAACCCCCAAAAGGAAAAACGAAGGAAGGGAGGAAGGGAGGAAGGGAAGAAGAAGAAGAACAAAAACAACAAAAAAACGCGAGAGCTCAATCACGGAAACAACAGTATCCGGGGCCTCGAATCGAGGGAGGATCGGGGGCCCTTTTTCCGCTTGTGGAACCAGGTCTTGGATCGGACTCGGATGAGGGCGGCGAAAGGAGCGAACATCTCCAGTCCTCAACAGCCGGAAGGAAACCGAGGGACGGAGTCGAGCGTATCGAACCGGAGGACCGTCGTCATAGGAGTTCACCGGAAACCCCCCGGGGGATCGATCGAACCAGAGACTGGTCACGATATGTACATCGACGAAAAATTACACGCGCGCGAGGGAGGCGCGTATCGATCGTTCGATGCGCAGAGCAGGGATGGCGGACGATCTTGAGCCGGCGAGCGAGCGAGCGAGCGAGAGAGCGCGTTTCGGGGAGGTTCGGTTTTTTTTTTTTTTTTTTTTGGGGGTCAGTTCTGGTTACAGGTCGCAGATGAAGAAGCTCCGCGAGCGAGTGAGAGAGATGGAGGTGGGCGACCGGCTGCGCAGGTTGCGCTCTGGATAGGGCGGGGCGGGGATGGACGGACACGTGTCGGTTGCGGGTTCGCGCGGGGGGCGGGGTTCGTTAGGGTTACGAGAGGGTGGGGGGGCCGCCTCTTTTCTTTTTTTTCTTTTCTTTTTTGGGTTCAGGCCAATGGCGGGGGGCCAGAGAGAGTGACGTGTTATCCATATCCATTGAACCGGGCCTCGAGAGATGATCCGGTGCGGGGCGTACCCATGCTAAGGGCCCGTAAAATCAGGGGACCCGGCAAAGAAACGGCGTCGTTTCCGACCCCGGGAGAGGATGTTCTTGCCTCGGGGTTTCCCACATAGTTGCTTGTCCATTTCATGAGCTCATCTAATCTACCAACTTAGAAATTTACAACAGGCAATTATGGAAATTCCAAAGCCGTCGGCGTCTTCTTGACGGTGAGGACAAATTGTCACGAGTATAACCGACCAGAACCGATAGGACTTTTTCCCCGTTTGTTGAAAAGACGACCTTTCATCGACGAGAGTTGATTACTTATCGAGGGGCGGAACCAGCAGAGCGTGTTGGAGATCGAAGAACTGACGTAATTTGTACAAAGATGCTGACCAGTATTTACACTATCCAAATCCAGAAGCGTCTTTGGTGTTACAAAAAGAATTGTGTGAATTCTACATGTACATGTGACTGTTATGTACACACTGTACACACATCCGTTGCTGGTTCCATTGGTGTGGCTTGACCCGAATATATATGGCTCTGCGAATCTTCTCGAGGACCAACCGTCTTTTGCAGGATTAAGAGGCGCGGCTGTCATGTCGATCTTGTATCAAACACCGTTGCCCCAAAGATATGGCCCTTGCACTCGAGCGAGGCATCGGCTTTCCTTGCCTTGCAGGAAGTCGTATGCGATGATCTAGTCTCGTGAAGACTGCATAAGCTCGAACCACTGCGTAACCACGAGTCGTCGACGGTCAGCATCGCAGATGACAAACATCGGTAAAAAATCGAGAGTCGACAGGAAATTACCTGTCTCAATAAATCGGCAAGAGTTCTGGGTAGCGCTTCGATGTTCCGCAGCAGAATGTAGTACGGGAAAGGAAAAGAGTCTAGATACTTAGAAAACTTGATATTGGCACCCTGGAAGGTTGCTTCCTGCATAAGAGAAGGAAGTTCAGAAACAAGAGGTGGCATTAGAGTGGTCAGTTCTTCAGAGACATGTGGTTCGGCGAAAAATCTCAAGAATTACCATGAGATCCATGATCGACTCCTCCGGACTATCCAGAAGGAGGAAAGCCACCAAACGCTTGCTATTCAGAAAATCCCTAACGCGGCGCTTCAAGCTCTCCTGCAAGAAAAATGCAGAAGCTTGTTAAGCAGCTGTCGGAGAAGCTCTGTGAGATTGTCAGGCTTTGCTTTTCGTTCATGGACATGGTATTTACCTTCTCATGGAAGCGCCCATCAGCAATGATCAGCACTAGCTGCTGCAAGGGGTTCTGTCCAGAAGGAAGACGGGCTCTGGCAACGGCAACGTCTAGCATTTTGTTTAAATGCTTCAACAGGTCAACAACTGGTTCGTCAACGATTGTATTCTCTTGCTTGAACGTCAAACTGGAGATCATCTGCTCAAATTAAACGAATGGAAAATCCCAGTCAACTTTTTCCCCATTTATGCAATGTGAAATAAGAGAGTGAGAAAAGCTTGTGCAGCACACGGTTACGGAATAAGCTTCCTTTCTCATTCAGACAATAATAAGCGAGGAAATCCCGAAATCTCGAAACCAACCTTGATTCCGGCCTCCCTCGTGAAAGGCAGATCAAAATCATGCAGCAATCTTATGTTTCCCTTTTTTCCAAAACTTGCAACAGCCAGGTTACCCATTTCGAGTTGGGATAGAGCGCGGCACACTGTAACCAAAGCTTCCACAGCTACATCTCCACAACCACTCTCTGACATGCTACGAGAATCATCAATAGCTATCACAACTTGGTAATCACGTTTGTCCGGTCGCGTCCTCCTCAGCCATATTTTGTCCTTTCGGTAATGACTCGCTATGTATGGAATTACCTGATATACAATCATGCACAAAGGAATAAGAGGAAAGATCGCAAATCTGATGAGTTCAGTGTGCGACTAATTAATCACAAACAGATTTTACCTTCTTCATGTTTATCCTTTTGCCAGTTTTATAGTCTCCTCGGAGCTTACTAGCTAAAGTAGGTTCCATCACTAGACGCAGTTGTTCAGCCAACTCCTGAGACAGTCTCGTAGTACGCAATTCATATCTAGTCCAAAGAGAGGCGGCATCGTCTCTTGCGTCGCTGGAAATATCTTGGGAATCTGGGCCATTTTGCAGATTGTCAACGCCAATAGACATTTCACCGAGCTGAAGAATGTCATCGCTCGTAGGTACTTTGTTGATACGAACCAAGCTCTCGGACAAATTTCCAGGATTACTTTCACGAGGATCCTGGCCATGAGGAGATCCTTCGTTAGGCAACTTGTCCAAGTCAGAGACCAATGAGGACTCCTCAGATTTTTTCCTCGTGATTGAAGCAAAATTGTGTCTAGGCTCTTCTGAACTCTGCATCTCAGTTTCCATCTCGGCAACTTCATCAGTACGGTCTACTGCAGAATTCTTTTCATTGACCATGTCGCCATCAATTTGGTGCTCAATCTGTTCGGCGGTTGCAGGTCCCAACGCTTGCGCTGTCCCCTTCTCACCCTCAGAAACAAAAGCATACTCATCTGCATTTCCATCCTCCATCTCATCCTGTGCCTCCTTTTTGTCTTCTTGAATATCAACAGGAATTTTCGCTCTCTCTTTCCAACCTTCGAGTGCATCCCCTATGCTGCGATAGGGATTTGGCTGTGGTCTTTGAAGAGGTGACGGCTCATCCATAGGTAGCTGATGTTTCGGTCGATCATCACTTAATTTACCACCTTGTGATGAATCGGGAACCGTAACTTCAGGTTCAGTACCAGAAGGCGAGTTTCTGCCAGGAGCTACTTCATTTTGAGTATTGCCGCTATTGGACCAGTTCATTTCTGGCCTTTCATTCGCTGAATCTGATGCTCCCAAGTCACACCTCAGTTGTACCCCTGAATCTGCCGTAGGGACATAATCATCGTCTTTCCTGGAACTTTCTTTACTTGGAAAGTCTTTCTCTGCTGTTAAATCCATCGCTTGACTATCATCAGAGGCAGCATCTCCATCATCCTTTCGAGAAGTTTCAGTTGCTTGCTCAATGTCTGCCTCCTCTAAACTTTCATCCATAGCATCAGTATTCTCTTGCTGATATCCGTTTTCTACCGGTTCATCTTGCTCTTCTTGACCTGCTTCTTCCATGGCATCGATATCGTTTACTTCGTCATCAATCTGCATGCCCTCTTCAGAGGTTTGATTCAACTCATTGACCTCTAATCCAGAGATATCCATATCTGCTTTTTCGTCTTCCATATTTGTGTCCATATCCTCCACATCAACGAGATTATCCTTATCTGCAGCAGCATCATTTGTTTCACCGGCATTATTACTGTGAGCTTCATCCGGCACCGTTGGGCCTTCTTCCTTTGCTCTGAGTTCCCTTTGGTTCTCATCTCTATCTCTAACTGAAGGTCCAGATTCATGCTTCTCATTTCCCTTTTCTTGGCTGTTATCATCATCCTTGTTCCAAAGTCTCTCGTCGACAACCTCACTGTCATCGCCATTTTTTCCCATTGCAGATTCAAGTTCCTCACCATCGCTGTTGTCAGTGTCGTCCTCCGTGGAATCCTGACTCACGCTAAACGTATCAGCTGCAAAATCCTGCTCCATTTCAATCCCTTTCTCATTCTTGTTTGGGACTTCTGTGGAGGCATTTTGTTCTTCACCTGGCTGTGAGAATCGAACAAAAAGGTATTAAATAATACAAATTTGGTACAAGGCGTGAAAGGGGGATGGTCAAGAACTGTATCTTTACCTTTGCAGAATCCCCAAGAAGCTGATCCTCATCAATTATTTGATCACTCACATCATTGATCCCTTCCCCCTCACCCATACCCGTTCCTCTATCATTCTGAGACGTGGCATGGCCACTCTCATCCTCCTGATCTTCGAGAGATGTGCCAAACCCTCTCGAGTATAACAGAGCTAGATCTTTAGCAAGTGTATGGGTCATTAAAGAGATCTGTAAGCAAGTCAGATGGGTTACCTTCGGTATAGATGGAAACACTACTCTATATAGTAGCCATTATCATCAAGTGGAATCATGCACCGACACTAAAACAAGACTTACTGTTCTGT